TTTGAGAAAATGGAAAAGTATTCCATGCTCCTGGATAAAAAGATCCAACATTATGAAAATGGCCACAGGCCCAAAATTCTTATACAGGTTCTACATGGATAATTTTAATAAATGATGCTAGCAAACTTATATACTTATTTTGACAAAGAGCAAATTACCTTTATCTCCTTATCCCATTGAAGAAAAACTCTAATACAAAATTATGTCAAAGTGGAGTTTCCTCCAATGTTTTATTGTTTTTAATATTTCTAAGAACATAATTAATTTTTTTTAAATTACAATATTCAAACTCAAATAATATTTCACCCAATAACAATATTTTGTGATTTATAAAATTTTTCAACAACCCAATAATAATAATAATAAAGTCCTCAAGCAGACATAGAACATGCTTTTGTTTGATATGTATTTAGTACAGGATCTACGGGATATTATTACACAGATCCGACTGGCAGTGATCTTCTTTTTTCAGCTTCCCAAGTCCTTGGTCTACAGGTGCCTGCCAACATGCCCATTCTCAGTCTCTGTCTCAAGATTTCCCAGGAGTAGGACTAGCATGGCACACCGGGGATCAAACCCAGATTCATGCGTCTGCCTAATCAGGTGCTATAGTCCACTGCGCTATCTGGCTGGCTCAGACATAGAACATCTTGAGAACCTGTTTGCAGGTTCTAGAAGAGGAACACAGATCTTCATATACCCTTGACCAAGGTATGATCCTCCTATATCAGGGTAGTCATCCTCTTCAAGCCGAGCTTGCAGCTTGAGAAGAAAAACACATGGAGCATTGATAGAGGAAGAGGACACTTGCCTGTTCAGCTAGATCAGGTGAATCGAACCTGGTGATCGGTGGGGTGACAGATGTTCCAACCAGGTCACCATCACATTCAGACATAGAACCTCTAATATCAAATGTAATTGTGAACCAAATGATTTCTTCCTAAGAGCATGGATGACAAAAGTCTCTGCCTTCATCCTTCTACTCAACATTTTATTAGATGTTTCCAGTATTACAACAAGTCAAGTAGTCATAGACAGCATAGGAGATACATTTGAAAAGAAGTAAAACTATTTGTGTAAAGTCTAATAAATACTCAGAACAGCTACTATAATTTATTCCATTAGCAATGAATGAGGGTAGAATATGTATGGATAAAAAATGATATTTCTAAATAAGAACAATAAAGAACCAAATTTGAAATTGAGAACAAATTCCCAGAATATCAAGCAAATAAGAAATACTTACAGATATATCTGACAAGATATAAAATCTCTAAGGCCAAAACTGTTAACCATTGTTCAGAGATATATCTTATGTTTAAGTATACTACATCTCTATGTTGGAAATCTGAAATCCTTTTGTAGCTAACTCTTTCCAAAAATGATTTTTCCATATACAATATTTTACACAACACAATAATTAGCAAAATTTGTGTATTTTAATGTTGTTCTTCTAAGCTTTTTATTTAAAAATACCTAAAATAATCATGCTAACATGGAAAAGAAAAGAATTTAGAAGAATGCCAA